TAACGCAAGACTCAATGAAGGCTTTTTTTCAATTTCTATTTTTACCATTAATAAAATTTTACCATAACATAATCCTTTGTCAGATTGATAGTTAGAAGATTCATCGGAATCCATCAAAATTGCTACATTACTGAACCATGGTTTATTATGATTTTATTAATTGTCCTTATTATTGATCCATTTTCTAAGGTCACCTTATTTGAAAATATTTACAATGATTTTATTAAAAAGTTATTTAAGGTAATTTTGCTTTTTGAAATTGTAGAAATTGTTTATTTTTAAAATTTTTAAAATAAATTACAATGAATTCTATTTTATTATTATTTATTTATATATTATTCTATTCTTGATTTTTTAGATTTTCTAAAATCGGAAGAAGAACTTGCATTCTTTTTCTTTTCAATTAATCCCTCCTTTTTGAAATATAATTTTCTTTTTTTCTTTTCATTTTCTAATCTGTTGACTTCTTCTTTAGCAATTTTTTGATCATGTTTAACTTTTCTTTCGGCTTGCTTTTCTTTACGTTTTTTATCTTTCTCTTTCTTTAAGGTTTGTATTTGTTGCATGAGAGTATAAATCTTCTTTTCTTGAGGTTCCAAAACTACCGCACGTTTTTGTAGGTAAGTTGGTTTTGTTTGTTTTTTAGGAAGTTTAGGTTTAGATTTAAATGGTAGAGATGATTGAATTGATTTTGGAATATGAAGTGGATTAAAACGACGAGTTTGACGTTCGATTTTCTAAAATAAAATAAATTAAAATAAAAATTAAAATAAAATAAAAATAAAATCAAAATAAATAAAATAAAATAAAAATAAATAAATAAAAATAAATAAAATAAAATAAAAAATAAATGAAAATTAAAAATAAAAGATAATAAAGATTATCTGAATGATAACTTGATAAAACTTACTTTATAACTTGAATCAGGATTATTTGGTACGGATTTTAGTAAATCTTTACGAATTTGTCCAACCAAACGTACACCTTGCCATTCTTTCTTGGATGACAATAATAATGAAGTAACTGGATTATAATATTTTGGAGGTTTAATGGGATACCAAGCTCTCAAAAATATTATATCTAAGTAAATAATAAAAAAATATTGATATGTTCAGATATTTATAATAATATTTTTTATTTCTCAATTTTTTTTTGTTTTGTTAGTTATTAATAATTAGATTATATAGGAAATTTTTCAAAATTTACCACTCATCAATACTTTATCTTCAAAAGTTGCACGAAAATGACCTTCTGGTTTCTAATAAATAAGAATATAATAAATAAGAATAATACAAATAAAATAAAAATAATGATGGTAATATAATAATATAATATAACAAAATTTACCGGTAAATGTTTTTTAACTTGTCCACGAATTCCCGAAACTGTTCTAATAGCCGCACCTTCAAATTTTGCTACTTCCAATGCCGAAGTAAACATATCTTTTATGAAAGCAGTATTCTTAAATATTTTATATGGTGTACCGGTTAATTTTAATTTTTTAACGATATCAGCGGAATGATTAATATCAAGAATTATCCCTGTAGCACTTATACGAAAAGCCGACTAATTATTTATTAGTTGATAAGAAATTATTATTAGAAATTATTATTATTAGAAATTATTATTATTATTATTATAAATTATTATTTCAAAAAAAAAAGAGTTTTTAATAATAATAAAAAGTTACCGTATTATTATCCGATATAGATTGTATCGCGCAAAATCCAGTATTTGGAGGATGAATGGGACCATAAATTGTAGCTAAACTGTGCATATGTTCTGGAGTATATTTAAGCATTCTATTATGTGTTCCATCATTTAATGAATAAATTGGTATTGATTGAAATCTTCTCCAACCCAATGAAAATATAAGAGGATCTTTAGTTTTAAGTATTTTTTTATGCCAACGATGACGTTTTATGCGTAACTATAATTCTTTAAATATATTAGATATATTATTAGATGTAGATATATTATTAGATGTGGATATAATTATATTTATATTATAGAATAAGACATAAATATAAATGAGATATAAATGTAGATATGAATATAAATGTAGATATAAATAGATATACAAAAATAAATTACCTGAAGAAACCCCAAATTCTCTTCATTAGGTAATAAACCTCCAACAATAATAGGATAAATGGGATCAAAATATTTTACAAATTCACAAGGCATTCCATTTAATAGAATTCGAACATAATTTCCGGGTCGAAAACCTTCAACCTTAGATCTAACAAGTGGATCATCATCTTCAAATTCTTCACGATTCAATTGTAACTGTTTATTAATTTCATCTTTCATTTCATCATAAAAATCTATTTTCGGGCCGGCGTCTTCTTTTTCATCATCATATTCGGCATCGAATTTTTTTTTCAAGATTTCTTTTTTTTGATCAAGTTGTTCTTGTTCAATTTGATCATGAGAATTTGTTGCATTAGTTGTGGTGGATTTTATTATTTCACCGGTTTCAAGATCTTCGAAATCACCATTAATTTCATCGTCTTCATCTTCTTCTCCAGAATTATTATTATTATCATCCTCATCATCATCTAAACTTCCTGTGATGAACCTATTTCGAATAGAATCGAGAGCCTATATATAAATAGATTATAAAAAGGTAATAAATATTATAATTACTACAAAAAATAATAATAATGAGAATAAGAATACTAACATTTTCATCATTCCATTCATCAAGTTCATTGATATCGAAAATTGTTTTTGAAGAATCTATTATATCTAATTTATTATTATCTTTTTCATCATCATTATTATTTGATTTAATAAGTTTAAAAAATTCATCATCGTCATCATCATCAATATTATTATTATTATTATTATTATTATTATCATCGTCATTATTATTCATTTCTTGAGCTACTTTATCTGGATGAGCAAGATCATAACGTGAAATTTCCTCAGGAGTTTTATTCTCATCATAAATTAACTGCATAATATTTACTCGTCGATTAGAAAAAAATATATTTTTTGCTTTAGTAACTAAATCAGACTTCCATCTTAATGCACCATCATCTTCTTCTATTTTATCTATTATACTATTGTTTTTATCTGTTTTATTTATTATATCATCGTTTTTATCTGTTTCATCATTATCACCATCATCATCATCATCATAATATTTATCGTTAATATCATAACCGGACTTCTTCTTAATGTTCTTAATAGATTCATCATTGTTATCACCATTATCATAATCCTCCTCATCATAACAATCATAATTATTATTATCATAATCATCATCAATTAAATCATTAATTAAATCACCAATTTCACTGTCACTTTCAGCATAAGCGATCACTTCTTCATCTTCATTAATTGTATTTTCTGGATTATTATTAACTGAATATTTATTTAACGCTAACCTTCTATTCGTCATTAATTTTTTATTCCTCACATCATAATCACTATTATTCTCATTATTATTCTCACTATCATCATCATTATTATTATCACTCTCATCATCATCATCATCATCATCATCATCATTATTATCACTTACATTATCATCATCATCATCATCGTCATTATTATTATCATCGTCACTTTCATCATCTTCACCTTCTTCTTCTTCATAATCAGAGTTGATATTATTATTATTATTATTATTATTATTTAAGTAATCATCCAAATTTCTATTATGATTTCCATTAATTTGAAATTTTTCAACATCAGCACCTTTTATAGGAGTAGAATTAGCAAATATTGAAAGTGAAGTTTCTTGTAATTTCGTTGCAAATGTTTCTGATGCATCTTGTAATTCCATCACCATTTTTTCTCCAGGTCCTTGCAATATTTCTATTTCATCTAAATAATCACATTTTAATAATATTTTAATATATTTTTATATTTATTATTTAATAATAATATTATTAACAATAATAATAATAATAATAATAATAAATATTTTAATTAATTAATTACCATTTTTATTATCATCACCATCACCAATATCATTAGTAGTATTTGTGGTAATAATATTTTTCTTGGTAAAACTTCCCAATACATCAATATAAACAGCATCTTTATCATACATAACTCCACCAACGTCAGACATTGGAGCATAAATAAGTTTATGTTTTTCACTTAAACTCCTTCTTATCTTATTATCAGGTAATGGGCATGGATCAGGAAGTATTGTTATATCTGATAAATATTGATCGTTAACTCCTGGAATATGAACCTTTTTTAGATTTGTTATTTAATGTAATCATTTATTAATATTATAATAATGTGATGATGATAATATGATAATGTTATAATAATAGAAATAAATAATAGAAATAATAATAATAATAATAATAATAATTCACATCACATAAATTACCTTCATATTAGATTTCATATTGGTTCCACGTAAATAACCATATAAAGTAATAGTTCTATCACAAATAGGATTTTGTCTAACTTCTTCAGGATCAGTTAAATCTTCAATTCGATCAGCGATTAAATATGGATGAGTATTTCTCCAAATCAAAGGTCTAAATTTCATGACGGAAATGAATCTTCCCAAATTATTAATTTCTTGATCCGGATATCGACCATTAATCACCCCAGATAAATAAAATAATTTTGCTCCTTGATAAATTTCCGTCCAAAATCTTTGTTTCAATTGTTTTTTCACTCTTTTTAAAGTTTTGTTATTTTTAAATTTATCTAAATGTGTTAAAATTCCCATCACTTTGGGAAATCCATGAGCTTGTAAAATATTTAAAAATTCAAAAGTTTCCTAATGTGTAATTGTGAAATAAAAATATCATAAATAAATATTTAAGTATTAAATTTTAATAAATTAATTAATAAATTAAATATTATTTTACCATTTCAAAACCAAAACTTGCATCAATCAATAATAATACCAAATCTGCTACTTTAGCAATATCAATCATACAATTCATATCATTGGTACATTCAATAAATGTCAATCTTCTTTTTTTACCTTTAATAAAATATTAAATTATTAATATTGATATTATTATTTATTATTATTATTTTATTATTATTATTTTATTATTATTATTATTTTATTATTATTATTTATTGATTGATTTAATTAATTAATTTATGATTTAATTTCATTAATTATTATATTTACCACTAACAACAGTAATAGGTCCTTTTAATACTGAAAGATTATGTTTGGCATATTTTTTTACCAGTGATTTAATTAATGTAGTCTTGCCAGTCTATAATAATAATAATAATAATAATAATTAATAAATATGATAATTAATATGAATAATAATTTAATTTATAATAATTTAATTAACTAAATTAATATAATTTAATAATAATTATTAAATTAATATATAATTAAATTAATAATATAATACCTGAGGTGGACCAACAACTGCAATCACAATTGGAGGTGGTTCTATAGGAGTTCGATCTACTAATGGTACATGAAGTTTTTTTTGAATTATTTCTTGTTTACGTCTAGCAAGTTTATCGGCTTTTCTTCCTGATAATGGTGCAAATGCCTACAAAAAATAATAATCATAATAATAAAATTATTATGACAATTAACAACAATTAATGAAAATTATTTTAATATGTAATATACCTTTGGATTTTTTCCACCATTTTTCTTTTGATTCTTTAATTTTTTTTCTTTTTTTGCACCTGATTGACGTGGTCGATGTGATTTATGTTCTTTAGTATCCATTATAATTAAAAAAAAAAAAAATAAAATAAAAATTATGAATGGAAATTTTTTTTTAAAAAAAATTTATTTATGGTAAATTGATCACCAGATCTTCAAGATCTAGATTTTTATTCAAAAAAAGTACATTTATATCATATAATTATATTAATTTAGAATATATAGAATAAAAATAATAAATAAGAGTGGAACAAAATTTATAGAATTAATATTAGAATAAATATATAAAATAAATAAATATATAGAATAAAGAATAAATAATTATTATAGAGAATGAGAATGAGAACGAGTATTAAAATTTCCAATAATTGATAACATTCCCATCACAATAATTGTAATAAATGGAGCTAAAGCCATATAAGAATAAAATAATAAAGTGGCCATCTCTTCTTCAAATGATTTATTTAAGTAAGCTAAATTTAAACAATTTACGGCGGTTGGACCACTCGCCAACAACATTAAGATAAACCAAAGCATGGGATCCTGAACGAACCAATTTTTGGTTAATAAGACTAAGATAATTCCAATTAATGGCATTACTAAAAATCTACAAATTAATATATATCCAATTGATGGAAATAATGATTTTCCTCCTTTGGATCTAGTTGGTAAATTTGCTAATTGAGCTCCTAATGCCATTAATGTAAGTGGAATCGTTATTGTACCAATGTATTCAATTGATTGTGTGAATACCGCTAATGGTGCGTTATCACCAAAGAATATTACTTTTAATGGTCTCGTTATACCAATTATTAATGCTAATATCGCTGCATATAATGGTGGATTCATGATTTCATTAATTATTTTAATTATTTTATTATTTTTAATAATGTTGAGGTAATAATTATAATTATTATAATTATTATTATTATCATTATCATTATGATTATTATTATTATTATTATTATTTAATAATTGGGTCGTTTCAAAATGAATTGGAAGTGATGAATCTTTTATTGTTGATGTGGTTGAATATGTTGGTGAATCTTTTATTATTATTGTTGAATATGTTGTTGAATATGTTATTCGTTGTTGATCATCTTCAATGTTTTCTACTTTTGGAGTTTCTTTTTTGAGTAAATATGCACCAAGACTCCATCTATTAAATTAAATTAAATTAAATAATAAAATAATAATTTTGTAAATTATATTTTTATGTTATGTATGTTTAAAAAAATTTTTTTTTTAAAAGAAAAAAAAAAAAATAGTTACCGTAAAAGAGTATTAAAAAGGACAGCTAATAATACATAAGATTCTCCTCGTTTAATTGATGCTTTCGGTGTATCATCAGCATCTTTAAATAATAATCCCATTGCACTGGTATTTTCCATACCTCTTAATAATCCCATTAATAAGGATGCTATATTATTAAACATTATTCCCGTCATAACGAATTTGGTATCCGCCGTTGATAAACTTAATATCATTTTACCTCCAAATATTCCAAATAGTGCACTAATTATTGTAAATATTAAATTAAATGTTGGTAAAGGCCAAAGCGTTATTAATTTGTTGATATTTATGACTGGTCCAATCTCGGAAAATAAAAGACATGGCATAAGAATTTTTATTATTAATTGTGAGAGATTCTAAAATAATATTTAAATTATCAATTAAATGTTTATAATTAATACATATTTATTTTTATTATTATTATCTTTAATATTATTAAAAAGAGAATATTTCAAAAATTATTTTCAAATACCTTTTGTGAATTTTCTGTTATTATTCCATATTTTGCAGCCATATATCCAGCTATGCATACAATCAACACTTCGCTACTTGACTAATAATAAAAAAAATTATACATATTTATTACTCAATCCTGAATATCTATATAATTCTCGATTTTATATAATTTATGAACACTCCATTTTATATATTCGATCTTTTTTTAATACCTGAATAGAAGCGAAAAATATTGCAGAATAATTAGTTTGAGGCGCAGAATCCATGTTTTTATTTATTTAACAAAAGACGAGAATTGAAGAGAGTGAGAGTGAGTAAGTGAATGAATGAAATAATTGACAAAGTGAATATCGAGTGAATATCGAAATCCATTTTTATAAATACGAATCATTATCTACACCACTTTCACGCGCAACTCATAATTTTTTTCCTTTTTTTTGTTATTTTTATATATAAATACGAGTTTCGAGTTAAATTAAACTGATTTGGTTAGGTTAATTTATTTAGCATTTTTAAAATAGTATGAAATCCTCCTGAAATGATGATAACGTCAGATCAGGTGTAAAAATAATAAATATAATAAATAGGAGAAATCAATATAACGCGCACGTTTCGAGGAGATAAATAAAATATGCCAGAAAAAGAACCAGCTTTTATCGATAATTTTACTATTTTCATAATTCATACAAATAACGCAATAATCAAGATAAACCAAAGATAAACAACGATGATAAGCAATAATGATAAGCAGTAAACAACAATCAGAGGATCAAAAGGATCAAAGCAAACAACTAAATTTATATTAAAATTACAAAATTTTATTAATTTAAAAATCAAAATAATAATTACATATTATATATCACTATTAACTATTTATTATTATAATTATATTATCATCATCTATTCAACAGTAATACGTTTTCCAGTAGATTCTTGAGTACGTGGGAGCTATTTAAAATAGGTAATAAATTATTATTTAATCGTTAAAAGATGATAATGAAAAAAAAAATAATTTATAAATAATATAAAAAAAAAAAACTTACTTTAATTTCCAAGATACCATCAGAGAACTTGGCATTAGATTTTTCAAAATCAACATTACCCGGAAGAGGGATACTTCTCTATAAATTCGTAAAGTAATAGAAATAGATAAAATATTATAGAAAAGTTTAAAAATGAAGCGTAAAATAGAAAAAAAAATATTCATGAAAAAAAATATTCATAAAAATAAATAATTAATATAAAATTTACCTGAAAACGGCCAAATCGTCTTTCTCGAACCCATCCTGTAGAAGTATCATAATTACTTTCTTGTTTGTTTTCACCACTGAGGATAAGATGATTATCACGAATATCAACTAAAAATAAAATATATATATATATATTTCCGATTATTTTTTCAAAAATAAATGTTAATTCAATTAATAATTTAATATTTGAAAACTTACCATTTACATTTTCTTTTGAAACCCCAGGTAATTCGGCATGAACGACAATATTGTTGTCAACTTCACGAACTATTATTATTATTGTTATAAAAAATTATTTTAATTAAATTATTCTTTTTAATAAAAGAATAAATAATGTATATCTCAAAAACTTAGGTACCAACCATCAACGCGAGGAACATAAACTCCACCAGAACCACTAGGACCAACATGTCCCAAACTCAAAGGTCTTGGAGCATCATTAAAGAAATCGGAAAAGATACGATCAAAATCACGACGGATTCTAGAAATTGTATCATCATAGAGAGCATCTCCTGTTAAACCACGAGATCCAAAAGTTGAAAGTGCCATTGCTAATAATATTGATACACTAAATGTAAGATAGATTATTAAAAGTGTTTTCGTATTGGGATCTGTAAAAGTATTGAATAACGATGATAGAAAAGACGAGAAGGCCGTTTTAAAACTTTTGAATATTTGAGAATTTTTTTTTTTTTTTTAATTGTTTGTGGTGAGTTTTGTTTCTTCGCTTGGGACTTGGTTAGAGGGTATTTATATTTATTGTGTGAGAATATGATGACATCTTCGAGAAAGAACTAGAAATTTATCGGATCTTTGAGCAATATTTGAATAATGACTTCATGATTATTCTCTTGACCATTGTGTAATTTTTATGAAGTATCGAATGATAAAATATCGTATGACGTGCTACGAATTAATTAGTAATCGTGATCGGAGCCAATTTATTTTTGTTATAAACAAAAAAAAATCAACAAAATCTGATGATAATTATCTCTAAAAAAGGCTAGAATGGGAATGTTTTTTAAAAAAGTAAATCGTATGAATTTTTCGCAATATTTGAAAATCATTTTTAATTATTTTTCTCTTTTGATTAACCAATTTAGTTAATATTAATTATACATTTAGTAATTGATTAATTATTTTTAATTTTAGAATTCCCAACCCGCTTAATGATTATGAGGGCGTTACCTAGAAGTAGTGCAATACTAGGAACACCCGTGGGAGAAAGTATGGCAAGCCAGGGACTTCCTCCCCAATTACAAAAATTCGTTTAATATCAAAGTTGTACGGTGTACAACATTTCAGATATTAAGCTGAAAAGAACAGATACTACACTTGATCTTAGCCAAAAGGCTTGAGAGGATAAGGAATCGATAAAAATTTCTCGATTCGGTTTTATAAAATTTGGATAAATTTGATAAAGTTATGGGATTTTTCACGTGAATGATATGAAGACTTATTGAAATTTATTTCGCGTGGATTGTGGATGAAATAATTATCTTATCTGCATGTCATATATTGATACGTACAGTTCTAACGTAATGTATGTACTTTGAGAAAGAAAAAAATAATAAATATGTATTAAAAGCAGAAGTTAAAAATAAAAGCGATATAATAAAAAATTGCTGTTGCTGTAACTGATTACACCAAATTATATTTATTTGATACATCAATCTAGAATATTCCGGTTACCCGTGGAAATAACCAGAACAAATTTTTAATAATAAGGTCTAAGTAAAGGTTTTAATTTTCATGGGAAATTATTACATAATTGTTATTCTAAGTCACAAAATTGATATAAAGTATCAAATTTCATTTTTTGTGTGAATCCTATATTAAAATAATTTTTAATAATTGGATATGAAATTCGCAAATTGAATAAAATGTGATCATCTTCTCATGTATCACGAATTAATCTATACATATAAAATCGAATATTGCATAACTTTATTAAAATGTAATTATATAATCAATGAATCTACCTTTGATATTATTATTATTATGATACTTGTATATTAGGGACAATATTTCATAATGAAATATATGTGATCCTTTATACAAAACTCATTGAAAAAAATAATTAATAAAGTAAATAGAAGAAACTAAAGTTCAATAACCTCATGATTAGCCCTGGATGTGACCAGATTTTCAGGTTGACCTTTTTTCTTGTAATTTTTTCTGTAATAAACATAACCCAGAATAACAGTAATAACGAGAATAAATAGTAATACAATAAAAATTACAACTGTTACTGAAGAACCATGATTTTTATTCGTCGAATTTATTGAGTCCGTGTTTGTTGGGAGGATTTCATTCGTTGAAGTTGCAACCAATTGAATATCCACACGAGCGAAAGTCATATCGTAAGATGACGTACCATCTAAACCTTTGCTTACAATGAAATCGATAGTTTCCCTTTCTTTTACAACAATCCCGCTATCAATTGACTTGAACGAATCTGAATATCCGACGCCATTTAGATCGGTCTCCCAAAGAATCTCAAAATCATTATGTATTATGTAAACTCCCGTATGTCTATTGGTTGCTGTATCATCGACGTGTTGGAATGTCACGTCTAGGCTATAATTCCCATTCGTTGGTGCAGTAAACCTTACAACAGAGGAACCACTATCAGTGTTGGGATGCATGCATACACTTTTAGCAGGAAATATCTTTTTGCTGCAACAATAACCCACGATAGTAGTCGTTGGATTAGGATTATAATAGACACCTAACCAGGAGTTACCGAATGATGCGCCATTTTCAAGCCAAGCGAATATGCCAGTTCCATTTCCATTATTTAAGTCCCGAACTAGGTTCGTAAATAAGCTAAACGGTCCAGTTAGGAAACCATCAGGTTTTAATCCGTAGGACCATACAGAAGAAGGGTTATTTATAAGAGAGAAGTCAGAACTTAGTGACCACGACATTTTTTCTAATGGTTATAAAAAATATTACGTTCAACATTATTACGTTCAGCATGTTTGTTTTATTTCGAAAATAAAATAGTATTGTTTATTTCAAAATGAAGGAACTTTTGTAACGATTTATCTCGTACGACGATGTTCAAATAAGAATTATATATTTTGGATATATTGGGGATCCTTTAATGTAACGATTAGCCTATAAAAAATCATAAAAATCATATGAAATTAACTTTTCTAAGTGATCAAATTTTCGTAAAATGATTTTTTGTCAGAGACAAATACGATAATAATAAAAAAAATGATGATGATTATGAAATAAAAATAAAGTTCATTGGAAATTTAAAAAATGTAACCAATTATTTTAAGTTTTTGTACGCATATCTTTATTTTTATTTTTTAAATTATTTTATATTGTTATTTCAAAAAAATAATAAATTTTTCAGCAGTAAAAAGTATTCTTGGGATTTAACAGGTCAAAGAAAAGAAAATATAAATAAAATTTTTTTGACGGTGTCACCTAAAATAGTATTAGAGTAATGGATTTCTTGTCATGTTTTTATTTTTGGATGTTTAAATTTCTTCCTCCGGAAATTATTGGAAATAATTATTATGTACTACTTCCTGTTTAATATCATATTATGTTGTGTTTACTATCTAATTTCTTAGCATAGCATAGTCCATATAACAGGAGTTATTCACGTACACACACATACCGCGTCAAATTTCTTTATAACCATGAAGAAATCCTCTTTTTTTTTTCCTCACAGTTTCAAAATAATTCCATAACACACGAATAAATTCCAAATAATAAAATAATAAGAATAATATAAATAATTTAAATTTTATTTTTATTTTTTTTTCGTCTTTAAAGAATTTAATTACTGAATATATCTAGAATATATATATATATATATATATAAGTGGAATATACGGATATTATATACACGCACACATTTTACCATTTTAATACAAACAATCTTCCATTAAAAAAATGGCAAACTCTGCTACCGTGAAATTTTTCAAGAAATTAGTTAAATTAATTAAAAAATCTAAATCCGAAGAAACTGATGAACCAACTGAAGAAACTGAACAAACCGAACAAACTGAAGAAATTAAAGAAACCGAAACAACTGAAGAAACAGAACCAACTGAAGAAACCGAACCAACAACCAAAGAAAAACAATCATCCGGAATCTTTAGTGTCATTGCGAAAGGAATAACTAAGGGTTCGAAAGGGATGGGAATGTCAAAGAGTTCTCAGAAATCGGTTAAAAATACTTCGAAAGCTGCAGAAAAAGAGAATAGTAGGGACGTTGATACTACAGCTGTAGATGATGCCACTGAAAATGCTGATGACGTCGAGATTACTGAGGGTGCTGTTAAAGCCGTAGCCTAACAACATTATTTTTATTTATATTTCGTGTCACAATAATTTTTTATTTGATCAACGAAAAACAATCTTCGCTTAATAATAGAACAATTTAATTAATAATTTTTTTTTCTTCAATATTTAGATGATTTGTTTTTTTTTTATAAATTGATATTTTAAATTTATCAGTTATTTTTTTTATCAGTTACTTATTATTATTATCAGTTATTAGTTAATTTCAAGTTAATCACGTTATAATGAGAACAATATAAAATATTGTTATTTATTTTATTTATTCATTTTGAGAAGAAAAGGAAATAATGAAATTTCTTTGGTGTTGATTTTTTTCTTTTTAACCAAAGAAATGTTAAATGTAAAAAAAAAAAAAAGAGAATATTAAAGTTATTAAAATAAATAAATAAATATAAATAAAAATAACTGATAAAAATAAAATAATAATTTTTTTTTTTATAATAATAATAATCATCGTCTCATCATTACACACTGATAAAAATAAATTAACTATTAATAATAATATACAATAATATTACATTTAAAAATATTATTATTAAAAATATTTAATAATAAAATTTTTTTTTTCATATTGCGTAAAAATATTCATCATCTTCCTCTCCATCCGTTATTTCTTCATTGTTATTATTATTATTATTATTATTATTATTGTTATTATTATTATCATCATCATTATGATGCATCATTATCTCTTCATAATGACTTGATGCCGAATTACTAGAATTTCTATTGGAATTTTTATTATTACCAAAACTTCGATTACTAGAATTAATGGAAATCCTTGAATTCCTTTGAGTATTTGTGGTGGTAGATGTCGTTGAAGGAATTTTTTGTTGAGATTTTTCCATTATTGATGATGCAGCAATTGATAAATTCATTCCACTACCATTTAATCCATTATTACCATAAATTCCATTATTGGAATTACTTCTTTCCGTATCCATCGATGGACCTCTTGATTGGGTTGCCAATCTTAATGCATTATATTCATCATGTTGTCGTTGAAGTACAAGTATTCGTTCTTCTTGAGTTGATTTTCGAGGTTCGGGTTCCGTGATGATATTATTATTATTATTATTTGATGATGATTGCTGTTGTTGTTGTTGTTGTTGATATTGTTGTTCTGCTAATGATTTTCTAATTTCTTCTGGTAATTGTGGTATATCATTATTCATTAAATAATATGATGGTATTGAAGCTTTTTCTACTGCTACAAATTCCGATCCACCTACTTTACCCAAAGGTTTAGTTTCTCCATAAATCATTTTTCCATCTCTTGATATTGAAATATTTCGTTTCAGTAAAGGTATAATAGGAGGTACAGTAGGAGGTATAGTAGGAGGTATAGTAGGAGGTATAGTAGGAGGTATAGTAGTAGGAGGTATAGTAGTAGGAGGTATAGTAGTAGGAGGTATAGTAGTAGGAGGTATAGTAGTAGGAGATAGAGTAGTAGGAGGATTAGGGGGAGGTATAGTAGGAGGAGGTGAAGTAGGAGGAGGTATAGAAGAAGGTATAGTGACTTCAGATAATGTTGAACTAGATGCTTTCGTTTTTAATTTATTATTACTATTATTATAATAATTATTATTATTATTCTTATTATTGGAATGTATGAAAGGTGTACCACCGGATTTATTTAAATTCTTTTCTTGACTTTGAGCAATATAAGAATCATGAGGTGTTCGAGACATTCCTATTCCAGATCCAGTAATATGAATAATTTCAGGAGATGAAATAGGTGAAACTGGTTTATTCAAATTCGAGACGGTAGCTGCTGTATGATACGTGCTCCCACTAGAGACTGTACCAATAAATCCTTTACGAGGATAAAAAATGAATATTAAAACCAACCATTCAATTATTGATGCTATATTGACATGAGCTACTAACAAGTCACTATATTTAACAAATATTAAATTTTAAATATTTAGGTTAGATTTCTTTTTTTTTTTTTAGATTAATAAATAAATTTATCGAAAAAAAATAATAATAATAAAAATAATAATTAACAATAATTTTTTTTTTGATACCTTGCAACTTTACTATTATTAATAGGTTTGGTAGAAGTGATATTATCAATGGTCAACACTAAAAGACTTACACTCATCACAAACAAAGATAATGTCAACACTTTATTCATATCAATAAAATATCTAATTTTTGCAATAATGTGTGGTGAGTCTTTTTGATTTTGAGTTGATGATATTTTAATTAATTTGTTGAATCTAAAATGAGTTCGAAATCCTAATAGCATTATAATAAATAATTGTGATGCGAATACTAAATTTGGAATAGTCTAAATTAAAATGATGGTAGTGGTGATGAGATTTTAATGATAATAATTTAAATGTCAATGAGATTGAGATATTAATTAGGTAAAAAAAGAATAAATAAATAAATATCAAATTCTCTTACCTCTCTTAATATGACATTGTTTCTAAAAATAATTTGAAGTACTGGATATAAAATCACGGATATTATTCCCCAGGCAACGTAAAATTTAAATTCAAAACTTGTCATCAACGAAGTTTTCGCAATTGAATTAGAAAGATAATTCCAGAAACATTGTAATAAAAATAAGGTGCCTCTATAATAATGTATTAATGTAACAATAATGAAATGTGAATGGATGTTGTCGTGAAATTTGTGGATAAATGCGCGTGAAAATTTTTGTGGGCGAAATTTTGGGAGTAAAAGTCAAGAGAATATGAGATCTAAATTTGGATTATTTAAAACTTACGTTTGTAAACTAATCCCAACCATTCTAACGTAACGATTTGGAACGAGTAACATTTCGTTGCTATGTGACCACAGAGATTCAGGCTTTGATTGAACTCTCATATTTGGAAATAAATATAATCCTTCTGTATATTTTATTTTTGTCTATATTATCATTATATTTATAATAAAAAAATTTTAATAATAATATTCTCCAAAATGTATATATATATATATATATATATATATATCTTTAAATAAATAATAATAATAATGAATTGTACCAAAATAATATCAAAGATTGAATCCAATGGTAATGCCAGTAATATGAAGATAGTAACATAAGATTTTAATTCTAGTGCTTTTATTTTATACCAATTCAACGCTGCAAATTTATCACACTAAAATAAATATAAAAAGAAATAAGAGTTAATTAAAAATTTAAAGAATAAATTGTATATTATGTTAATTATATAATATAAGAAGTTTATGCATACTCTCCAGACATGGATAATAAACCATATCCATATATAAACTTCATGAACCGATCGTTCTGAGAAAATAAAGTTGTTTTTTTTTTTTTAATTAGAATTGATCTAAAAGTAAAGGTAATAATATAATTCGAAATAAATTATTCAATTTTCTTCAATTTCTTCATTATTTATTTATCTTTTTTTTTTTTAAAAAAAAAAGATATCTTCAATAAATAAATAAAAATTCTGTAGAGAGATCTTTGATTGTATGCTAACTATAATAATTATAATAAATATACTAAATATAATTCTTTAAAATACGTACCGAGAAAAGAATAATCACTTAACCTAACCACTTGTGATTGTGATTGTTCCATTTATTTTATTTTATTTTTCTAATATTATTCGTATTATTTATAATTATTTTACCCTATGGACGGAAGAAAATATTTAGGTTAAGTACTCTTTTTGTAAAAGTTTATTATGTGTTCTATTATATGTTGTCGTTATGTTTGTTTGTGAAGTTAATATTTTTTTTATATCAGTCTATTATTTTTTGTATATGTTGTATATTTTGTATATGTTCCGTAGGTTCTGTATGTAGTCGATATTTTCTAAACAAAAAATACATATAGAAAAAAGAAAAAACAAATAATGAAGCGATATTAAACTTTTTAAAACTTATAATTATTATTATTAGGTTATTAGGTTATTGGGTTATTGGGGATTATTTTGAATTTACTAAATTTAATATTTTTATGATTATGATGCCTTGTCGTTAAGAAGAGAAAAAAGTTGACATGTCCGCGTGAAAAGAAAAAAAATAATAATAATAAAACAAAGGAAAAAATAACAAAACAAGGAAAAAAAAAATAAAGAGTAGTAAATTATCAAAAAATAGAGAATAACTGAACTGATAATGTACTTTTTTTTTTTACTCGGTGACAATATTTACATTTATGTTGTGAAATGTTCCGAAAAAAATAATTCAGAAATCCAAAAAAAATTTTAAAGCCGGAATTACTTTATTCAGAATTAATTAATTGATTTTAAAATTTGATAGATTATTATTAAGTGCATAACAGAATTTTTGTGTCTAGTAGAATCCTAGAAATAAATAAATAAAATGGAAATAAAGAAATTCCATAATAGAAAGAGAGAATAATTTCCATATAAATCAAAAAAAAAGAATTACATATTATAATTCCTTTCGTAGACATCTAATAAATTCTTTTGTTTATCATTTACGAAAATTTTATTTTAATCTCGCTGAATTTGGAATTGTAGACTTACCAAAAATATCGAAAATATTAAAAAATATTTAATATTTTTAATAATATTTATTAATTATTAAAACTAAAGTAACGTGCCACACAATAAATAACCGCCCGATAAAAAAAAAAAAAAATTAAAAATAATAATAATAATAATAATAATAATAATAAATAAGCACTTAAATTTTATTTTTCCAATAACGCATAATCAAGAATCAACCGTATAATGATTCATGTGCAAAAACTTCATTTTATTTTCTTAAGAAAATACAAATATATATATTTTATTCATCTGAAAGAAAATAAAGAAAATAGTTTTTCGGAATTTCTTTCCAATAATCATAAATTTGGTCATAATGTAATATATTATTCATAAATTCCCAATTAAATAAACAACAATAACGACAATAGAAGTCAAAAAAATAATAATAAATCCATAAGTATACAAGTAACGTTTCTCACTAATGTGATCAAAATTAACATCAAAAGTAACACTTCCGTGTCACGTGAATCACGTCTTTTTAAATTTCGAAGGTTTAGCATTAGTAATTAGTTCATTGAATTGTTTTTTTTTTTGTTTTTTTTTTATTTGGCATCACAAGAAAGATAATCAATACAAAAATTAGGTATCTGAGGTGCAAGTCTCCTAAAACCATTTGATACACTTTCTTTTATAAAAATATAAATTTAATAAGCCAAGTACGATAACAATATTTTCTCTTAAAATTGTATCAGGTATTGATAGCAAAAAAAAAATAATTTAATTAGAAAAGGAAAGGTAATAATAACCATCAAACAATGAATACAATGCTTAGCTTTTTTTTTCTATTTATAAATTTAAATGAAAAAAAAAAGTTTCTATAACGCTATTTTCATGTTTCAAGAAATAAAGTACTGTTCATTCCTCTAATGATCTCGTCCCGTTTATCCTAAATGCGAAAATATCATGAACTCCAAAAAGAAGATGCGAATTGAGTACTAAAGAATGTTTCATTGAAGGTTTTAGAAATTGGTCCAGTGAGGAAAGTGAGGAATGTTAATATTGATAAGGTTTATCCAAGAATCTCAAATATAGTCTACAATGGATGTCTTATGATATAATTTTTAAGGTATCAAACATTTAGGATATGGGATTCTAAATTAGAAAAATGAAACACTAAATGGAATTTTATCAAAAAGGATTTGTAATATGCTTTGGCAAGGAATAAAGTTGCTTTTTTTTTTTGAAAGAATTAAAGGATTCTAGATATAATTTTTTAGATTATAAATATTACAAATTTTTTATGTATTGTTAAAAAATGATTTATAATTTATTTGTCTTTTGTAATATTTTTAGGTTAAGAATATAATAATATTGTTATATGAATGATGTTTTATGGAATTTCAAAAAATCCCTTCCTCCACACAAAACGACTTAATAATTACCTACATAATTTTCTAAACAAACATTTTCGGAATTTAGGTTAAAAAAAAAAATAGTATCAAATAACAACTTGGCACATGAGACATCATATCAATTACAGATTTCGGTTTAAAATTAAAATCTGATCTGATAACTAAAGTAATATGATTTATGGATCAATTCTGTATATTTTACCTGAGGGATAAGAGGATTTTTGGTATGATGGTATAACCGTTTGGAAAACAACATTTTCAAATCGTCGCCATTTGATGATTGATGATTGACCAAAGAATCATATGAAATTGATTCTAAAGAATCATTAGAATACAAATAATTGTTTGCTTTTGACTTTTCAAGATAAGTTATTATTAATTTATTTAGCACATAAAGAAAATCGTTAAAAATGGATGAAAAAAAAAACTATATACTTTATTTAACACAAAATTTGTAGTTTCTTTATAAAAGAAAAGATTTCTTATTAAACGTGTAGATGATGATGGACATATTCTGCTAAACTAGAAAAGGGATTGGGATTTGATAGATTTAGTTTTATTGTAAAATCAAAAATAATAATATTAATGCCCTATAAAAAAGTCTTATCAGGTGTTTGTATTGTATTCATCTGATCTGATTATAGTAAATTTGTCTAAAAGATAAAACAATGAAGTATATATATATTGAACTTTTTACGGAATTGTCCGTACGATAAACATTTGATGACCAAGCATGTGATACCTATTTCGGAAGCATTACACGTTCCAGCTGTTGAATTAACTGATTTATTTTGGGAAATATATGGATAATATAATAATGGAAAATAAAGTTATGCGACAGCTAATTATTTGAATTATTTTCGTATTTGGCCGAAGTATTGGAAATTTTTTAGGTAATAATTATTGCTAAAGCTCACTGCCGGCAATAACATAATTCCCTGAACCTAACTATTGATCTAAAGAATAATCAAGACATAATTATGAAGAAAAGGAAATTCTAAATCAAGTATTCTTTTTAAAAAAGACTTAATAATATATACCATTGAATCAATTTATTTTTTTTTTTTTTGCGAAAAAAATTTATTTTTGTCTTTTTTTTTTTTTAGAACTCAAGACGAATTTAAAGAATTTAAAACGTAAAACGAAAACAAGATGGGATTTTTTTTTTTTGATAATAGGATCTAATTATTATGTAGTATCTTGTTTCTATTTACAGAAGTTCCAATTTTTATATTTTGAATATGAATGCAGAAAAAAATTTTCAGAATTAAAAACGATAGCAAATAGATCGGTATATTTATTTAAAATTCTTATTTCAAAGTATTTACAAATTAGAACTCAAAAATGTGATATTTATTTATCTCTTTACAATAAGAAATAAAGATATCATGATATTCGATTTTTTAATATTCAGGGAAACTAATTCATATAATAGATAATCTCATAATAATTAGCGAGTCATGAACATGGAATATAAAATATCACTTTCTAATAATTTGAAATTTCCTGAGACTATCTAAAACATTTTTTAGATGGTTTTCTCTTGTGCGTAAATCATCTCTATGGAAACTAACAGTATAATCCTCCTGGATCAACTCTCCAATATCAAATTGTTCATCATCACTGACACAGATTTCTATTAACTTTTCTTCAATTCTCTTTGTAAATTCATCAATAAATGCATGGATAATTGTCATAGCAATTGTATCAGCATACCTTTTGAATGCTATCTTGAAATATGCCAGAAGTGATGCAATAATATCTATAGAATCAGTTGGTTGGCTGCCTTCATCTTGTAAAATTTCATAAAGTTTTTCGCGAAAACATAATTTTAAACTGGTTATCGATAATTCGTCTATGGTGAATGGTTGATTAATTTCCATTTCAGATATGAAATTAATGTATTTTATTGTGGTTTCTTTACAATCATCTAGCCATTTGGTAACAAGACGTCTAAAATAAAATAAAAATAAAAAAATAATGTTGAGATAAAGAATGATTTTGACAATAATAAAAAAAAATTATCACTTACTTCATTTCCGCATCTAAAAGTGGAAATCGTGAAAATATTTCATTAATCACTTCTTCATGCAAAAATTCAAACATAATTTCATAAATTCCATCTAAACATTCAAGTGATGGAGATTTCCATTCAATTTGGGTATCTTTAATAATTGTCATTGCTGATGAGTATGGAATGAAACCTGGAAGTAATCTCCCACGAGCATTAATAATTAGTTCTGTAATTTGTTGTTCTGTGATCACTTTCAATGTACCCTTTTGATCTTCCTGATCTTCTTGATCTTCTTGATCTTCTTGATCTTCTTCTTGGGAATCATCTTTTAAAAGGTCAAATTTAATTGATCTCCTACCAATAACGAAAATTGGTCGAGATAAGAAAAGATTATTATTAAATTCAATAAATTTCTTATTAATCATTTGCCAAAGTTCATGTCTTCCAGATAATGCAGATGTTTCATCTTTAATCATTTTCACACATAGTTTCACCATTTTGTATATTTCAATTTTGGAATTTTCGCCGAGTTTTTCTGGTATTTTAACCAATTCTCGACGTATCTATAAGGAAAATATATAATATGCATATCTATTATTAACATGATGGGATTTTCATTATTGTTGATTAATATAAAAACATGCCTCGTCCAATTTTTCTTCTGCATCTTTACTGATTTTTGGAAGGTCACGTTTGATGGCTTGAATCAATAACTCAGACAATTTGTGCCGCAATTTTTTAACACCTATACGGTCACTCATAAAATCTTTCCAAGGATCTCGGCTTTCAAAGAACTAAAAATATTAAAAATGGTTAACATAATTTATAATAAAATATAATGAAATATAGAAATTATGAAACATGAAATTTACATTTTCTTCATATTCTCTTGCTTGTTCAAAAGTTTGATTATCTAATTGTTCCTTGTCTGGATTTTTAACAACATAGTATCCAAGGGAAAGTTTATGAGCTTCTCCTCTTAAAATTTTTAACCAAATATCATGTGTTCCTCGTTCAATAGTATCTGGCTTGGTTAGAACTCCAAGCGTGCGACGCCCTGCGGGATCTGCTTCTTTGGCGAGAGTTACTATCGCTTGGTTGTCAATTTCATCACGACATGTGATAGTGGCAATTATTATTGACTGTTCCTTTTTAATATATTCTTTTACGAGTTCTTTAATCAAATCGATGAATTTTCTGTCTTCTGCTTTCTCCGTATGATCTATAATATTTTGCTCTTCAGTTTAAGTAAATGGTAATAATGCATATTTTTTAAGTTTTGTTTACTTACGAATGATTCCAGGTAAATCAATTAAACTTAAATTTGGTACGTTCTTTCCTTTGATCTCTAAACAAACCACATTTTTGGTAAATTTAAGTTCATTGTTGGCATCATCATCGTAATGTGCCCCAAAATTCCAATTAAGATAATCATCACAATTTTTTGATGGATTTAATAATGCTTTTTGTGCTCTACGAGCCATTAACTCAACTTCCTTATGAGATTTGATCAAACTTGCAAATTTCTCTTCAATCGGTTGAGAAAGACGACGCCCTGATTCATCATATTCTTGACGTAAAGAAATTTGACAAGACCATTCTACATCTGATTCAATTAAACGTAATTCCATTACACAACGAGTGCAAGTTCCTTCGGATCTAGGTAACTATGTAAAAAAAAAATTCAATTTTTTATGAAAAAAAATATATATATATTATAGTATTTTATATCATAATTTTTACAATTATTTACTTGAACATTTGAAATTGCTTCTAGTAAAGAACTTTTTCCTGCGGATTGATTGCCGCAGAAGACTACAGTGGGTAAGTCAACTGCAGAATGTGCACCTATACGTCGAAGATCATTTAAGATATTAATATATTGAGATGCTTTCTTTGCGTATGAAGTTTCACCAATAGTATTTGAGAACTGGGTCATTTTTAGAGAAATTTTTATAAAAGGGAGTGGAAGAGCTAGAATTTTTTTATGATGAATAATTCCGTTTTATATTTTTCCATTGAAGACCAATTAAAGCTTTTTTGCTGTTAAAAAAAATGGTCATTTAATATTTAAATATCATTTTCGTCATAGATTTTTGGCGATAAAAAAACGTAAATAGCCCCATTTCTATAAATACATATAAATACACAATACATCGTTAATACATTTGTGCATTAATCGTTTAGTAAAATGTTAAAAAAAATACTCAGATTGGCAAACACGTGAAATATATAAAATTTATCCTATACTACTCTTAACTTTGTATTTATCACGTGCTAGCTACTTTAAAAAAATTATTTATATAGGATGTTAGAGCTAGACCTGGGATCTATTTTAAGGACACTCAAAAAATATTTTAATAGGGCATCAGTTAAAAATTTTGAATATTTCATCTTAGGTAATAAGAGGAAATTTATATATATGATGAAGTAAACACAATTTTTAAATCCATCACACGTCATTTGATAATTGATATCTGTATTGTGAGTAAATACCAAAGATTCCTTGATTCTAAAATGTGATCGACGTTTGGAAGGCAACAGTTAACGATAATCATTCTCGATCAAGGGTATTATTTTTTGTTATTACATTGAGTGTCAATAATTATAAAAACGGATTCTAAAGAATTATCAGAATGTATTGATTTGGAATAAGTATTCTAATGTTTGCTTTTGACTTTTCATTACCACAAAAGAAAACATAAAAACAAGGGAATGATACTTTATTTAACACAAAATTTGTAGTTTCTTTAAGAAAGGTTTTATTATAATAAACCTCTTTCAGTCTTTCTAATTATAAACTTGGTGAAGCAATAATTTCGACATTAAATTTTTAAAAAATAAAATCATGTGGAAGCTAACTACAAAAAAAAAGCAATCACACAATATATGTCATGTATATATATGTATTTTTGTTCAGAAATAATAAAATTCACATCTAATCGTATATAATTTGTATATGATATGGAACCAAAACGATTTGGGAAACAAATAGACATGTTGGGTAACCCTATAAAGTCTTATCTGATGTTTGTATTATATTTATCTGATAATAATAAAATTTTTCTATAGAAATAATATTAATACATAGACAAAATAATGACAGAAAGCAACATATTTAATACAAGTATAATGTATTGAACTTTTTAAGGGATTGTTCAATTCTCCTGAATTGTTCACGACAACCATTTGCTAGATGTATTTGATGGTGTAAGACCAAAGATACCTGATTTTACGTTAAATTAGATCTCAAAAATGGTATCTAGACTTAATGCAGTTGGATTATACGCTCCAGTTGTTATTTATTTTAGGATAATGTATGGATAATATAATGGATGATAACGTTATGCGACAACTAACTATTTGAATTTTATTCGCATCCTCAATCCTGCTATATTAGCCGAAGTATTTAAACTCTTAGAGAATAATTTCAATAATTTTATTTTGATAAATAATTAAAGCTCACTAAGTAAATTACATAATTCCCTAATAAACCCCTAACTCTAACTTTGCCCACTAATTTATTCTAAAGAATAATTAAGACATACTGATGAAGAAAAGGAAATTCTAAATCGAGCAGAAAAAAAGAATATTTTCTCTTTAGAGTTAATAATGAATACGAAAAAAAATTATTTTTGAAAAATTTCGTCTTTTTAAATTCAAATATGATTAATATATAAAACAAAAACAAGATGGTTTTTTTAATTATAGGAGTTTCAATTTTGAATGTGAATGTATAAATAAATGAAAATAAAGAAAACTAGCAATTTGCAAAATTAAAAAAAAAAAAAAATTAAATATATATTTATCACTATTTACTATAAGAAATAGAAATATAAAGAAACTCATTTATTCGGTTTTTTATGTTCAGGGAAACAAATGATATCTAATTCTTAAAATAAACTCATAATAATATAAAATATCACTTCAAATCATTTTATTCCAAATTTCCTGAGACTATCCAAAACATTTTTTAGATGTTTTTTCCTTGTATGTAAATCTTCTCTATGGAAACTAACATTATGATCCTCCTGGATCAACTCTCCAATATCGAATCCTTCATCATCATTGACACAGATTTCCACTAGCTTTTCTTCAATTCTCTTTGTAAATTCATCAATAAATGCGTGGATAATTGTCATTGCAATTGTGTCAGCATACCTTTTGAATGCTATCTTGAAATATGCCAGAAGTGATGCAATAATATCTGTAGCATCAGTTGGTTTACTGCCTTCACCTTTTAAGATTTCAATAAGTCTTTTGCGAAAAGATGATTTCGAACTAGTAATCGATGCATCATCTAGTGTAAATGGTTGATTAATTTCCATTTCAGTCATGAAATTAATGTATTTTATTGTGGTTTCTTTACAATCATCTAGCCATTTGGTAACAAGACGTCTAAAATAAAATAAAAAATAATGTTGAGATAATGAATGATTTTGACAATAATAATAAAAATTTATCACTTACTTCATTTCCCCATGTAAAAGAGGAAATCGTGAAAATGTTTCATTAATCACATCATGCACAAAATTAAACATAATATCATAAATTCCATCTAAACATTCAAGTGATGGAGATTTCCATTCAAATTGGGTATCTTTAATAATTGTCATTGCTGATGAGTATGGAATAAAACCTGGAAGTAATCTCCCACGAGCACTAATAATTAGTTCTGTAATTTGTTGTTCTGTGATCATTTTCAATGTGTCCTTTTGTTCTTCTTGATCTTCTTGATCTTCTAGATCTTGACAACCGTAAGAAAATGAATTTCGTTGAGGAAATTGGAGAATTTGGGGAGTTTGGGGAACATCATTTAAAGTAGAAATTGGTTGGGAAATTTGTTGGTGAATTTGGAGAGTTTGGGGAGTGCAAACCTCATCTTTTAAAAGGTCAAATTTGGTTGATCTTTTACCAATAACGAAAATTGGTCGAGATAAGAAAAGATTTTTATTAAATTCATTAAATTTAGCGTTTATCATTTGCCAAAGTTTATGACTTCCAGATGATGCAGATGTTTCATCATTAATCTTATTCACACATTTCTTCACCATTTTGTATATTTCAATTTTTGAGTTTTCACCGAGTTTTTCTGGTACTTTAACCAATTCTTGACGTACCTATAAGGAAAATATATAATATTATTAATATGATAGGATATTCATTATTGTCGATTAATATAAAGTATTTTATCCACATGCCTCTTCTAATTTTTCTCCTGCATCTTTACTGATTTTTGGAAGGTCACGTTTGATGGCTTGAATCAATAACTCAGACAATTTGTGCCGCAATTTTTTAACACCTATACGGTCACTCATAAAATCTTTCCAAGGATCTCGGCTTTCAAAGAACTAAAAATATTAAAAATGGTTAACATAATTTATAATAAAATATAATGAAATATAGAAATTATGAAACATGAAATTTACATTTTCTTCATATTCTCTTGCTTGTTCAAAAGTTTGATTATCTAATTGTTCCTTGTCTGGATTTTTAACAACATAGTATCCAAGGGAAAGTTTATGAGCTTCTCCTCTTAAAATTTTTAACCAAATATCATGTGTTCCTCGTTCAATAGTATCTGGCTTGGTTAGAACTCCAAGTGTGCGACGCCCTGCAGGATCTGCTTCCTTAGCAAGAGTTACTATTGCCTGATTATCAATTTCATCACGGCATGTGATAGTGGCAATTATTATTGACTGTTCCTTTTTTATATATTCTTTTACGAGTTCTTTAATCAAATCGATGAATTTCCTATCTTCCGCTTTCTCCGTATGATCTATAATATTTTGCTTTTCAGTTTAGGTAAATGGTAATAATACATATTTTTTAAGTTTGTTTACTTACGAATGATTCCAGGTAAATCAATTAAACTTAAATTTGGTACGTTCTTTCCTTTGATTTCTAAACAGACTACATTCTTGGTAAATTTAAGTTCATTGGTATTTGCATCATCACCATTGTAGCGTGTCCCAAAATTCCAATTAAGAAATTCGTCACTATTTTTGGAAGGATTCAATAAAGCCTTTTGTGCTCTACGAGCCATTAACTCAACTTCCTTATGAGATTTGATCAAACTTCCAAATTTAACTTCAGTAGGTTGAGAAAAACGTTTTCCTTTTCCATTATATTCCTGACGTAAAGAAATTTGGCACGACCATTCTACTTCTAATTCAATTAAGCGTAATTCCATTACACAACGAGCGCAAGTTCCTTCGGATCTAGGTAACTATATAAAAAAAAATTCAATTTTTTATGAAAAAAAATGTATATATTATAGTATTTTATATCATAATTTTACAATTATTTACTTGAACATTTGAAATTGCTTCTAGTAAAGAACTTTTTCCTGCGGATTGATTACCACAGAAGACTACAGTAGGCAAGTCAACTGCAGAATGCGCGCCTATACGTCGAAGATCATTTAAAATATTGATATATTGAGATGCTTTCTTCGCATATTGAGTTTCAGCGATGGTATTTGAAAACTGGGTCATTTTAGAGAAATTTTTATAAAAGAGAAAAAAAGAGTGCGGAAGGGCAAAACTTTTTTTTATAATGATTCCGTTTTATATTTTTTTTAAATGATTGAATGAAGATTCAAATCCCATTGAAGACCAAATTAGAACTTGTATGACTATATTAAAGAAAAACATTTCTTTGTTGCTGCTAGAATGGTCATTTAATATCATTTTCGTCATAGATTTTGGCGATAAAAAACGTAAACATCCCCATTATACATTGTGCATTGATAATGCATTGATAATACAACTCGTTTAGCAAAAGGTTTTTTCAAAAAACACTACGATCATGCAGAATTTTTTTTTTTAAAAAAAAAGCAGTTTAGTAAATACGCGAAATTTTTTTTTTAAAAAAAACCGAGATCAATAATGCTAGTCACGTGAAACATAAAATATGATATAATAATATCTGAGTTAAGGAAAGCTTATCTGTCGTGTGTATATCCTTCGAATATCGATTTTTATTTTTGTCACAAAAGTTCCATTTTTGATAGATCGGGGACTATTTTTTTTTTGATATACTTTGCGAATTTTGATTATTTTTTTTTGATATATTTCGATGGTACCCAATTTTTTAATTATTTTTTTGATACATTTTAAATATTTTTCCCGATTTCGTATTTTTCCTTAATTTCGTTTCGATATAATGATATAATATTATTTATTTTTATTATTTAATGTATTTTTTTTTCAAAAATTTAAATTTTATATTATTTATTTTTATTAATGTATATACATATTTTATATTAATATATATGAAATAATAAAAGCAATATTAAAACTATATTTAATTTCTAATAATATTCAAAACATATTGGCGCGCAGAATGTAATCTGCGAGCAAATTCTAGATCATCAGAAGATTCTTGTGTTTGTAATTCAGAAGTAATAATAATTGATTTAGAAAAATTGTTATTATCTTGTTCTAATTGTAATTCAGATAAAATAATAGTTGATTCAGAATTGTTATTGGCTTGGATTAATTCAAAAGAATTATTATTGACTTGTTCAGGTTCTTGGATTGTAAATTCAAAAAAATTATTATAGGCTTCAAGTTCTTGGGTTGTCAATTGCAATTCAGAATTAATAATATCCAGTTCAGAAAAATTATTATTAGTTTGTTGAGGCTCAATAAAAGATAAATCTACTGCTATTCTAGATTGCTGTGAATTAATATTTTGTGAAGTTATTGTAGTGTTTTTTTTGATTTTTTTGAAAGAATTTCATGATTATTCTAGATATAAAAAAAATTAAATAAATTTAATAAATTTTAATAAAGATTTGTTCAATAATTATTAAATATTTACCTCGAGCCTATGTTTATTTGGCTTTTTTTTTGTGAAACATTATTAGTTGTATTATGAGAACGCAATATACGACCAGGTTTCGTGGCTTAGCTGATAATTTTGATGATCCTTTTCTTGTAGACAACTCCAACAGATGAAAAGGATCTGTACAAACATTTGTTTGTTTTTACTGAAGAATAAAAAATTTTGATCCTATATTATTATAAATAAATAAATTATTAATATATTAAACAATAAAAAAATTTAATATATAATAAAATAATTATACTTTCAATGTTAAAGAGATGAATTATTTCATTATATGCCTCATCTACAGACCCAAGGTAAATTATATTTTTTTTTTTGATCGGAAGGTACTACTCTTTCCTTATTTTTAAAATAATTAACAAATTTTTCTTTTGTCTCTTGTATTATATTATTATTTATTTGTGCCATTTAAAAAAATCTTGCTGCATGACAATACTTGCAAATATCACGAAATGAAATATTCCAAATATAATCTAAGCATAGTGGACATTCTCCTTATAATTTTTAGTAAGTTGTTCCATCATTGGTTGAAGATAATCAACAAATCCTAAAAGAAAATATAATTTTCCATGATTTAAATGTCTCTTCATATCAGATGTTATTTTAAAAGATTCGTTTTGTTATAATAAAAATATATATTATTTATAAAAAATATTAATATAAAATTTTTTAATAACTTACTTGTTCAATAGATTTTGCATTAAAAAATGTAACAAGTCTAGCTTCTGACCTGCTCCTTGTTCATTTAAATTTTCGCGTAGTAATTTTAATCCATCTTTCAATAAATGGCCGATTGGTAGCATGACAGAAGTTCCCTTTTATTGGCTATGAAAAATATGATCTGCATCATCAGCATAAACTGTAATTGGTCAAAAATTTGTGATACGTTAATTTAAAAAAATAAGTAACACGATTTTCTGTGCATTTTTAAAAATGATAAAAAAAAAATTTAGGACCATGTGTAATAGAGAATTGTACATATAACAATGTTATCTTTCATCAAATTACAGAGCTTGCTTATCAGAAATGTCAAGAAACAAATGTATTAGCAATATATCCTTATTTCAAAAAAAGAAAACAACTTTGTCATCCACATTATTGTAAAATAATAGAGTTTAAATATAATCAAAATAAACATAAGAATCAAAAGATCAGAAAAATAGTTGGAAAAAAATTATTATTAATATAGAGTCTCAAAAGATTACAAATAAAGGTAATATAATAAATTAACATAAATATATAATATATTAAGAATTTTTTTTAATGATATTAATTTTTATTAATAATAGATTTGATAAATGATTTAACATTTATATCAAGAATAAAAATATTAACTAGTACAGTGTATAATAAGCAATGTCAAAAAAGTGCTAGTTTAGAATTAGAACCTCAAGAGTTTGAAAAAATAATAGAAACTGCAAATTCCAAACTTAAAGAATTTTTTCCTTCAATAGTCAATACAATTATTTCAAAAAAAAGGTTCATACATAATAAAAAAGAAGCCAAAAAATCAGTTGTAGCTTTATGTTATATGATTGTTGGATTGCAAAATAAATTTGTAAGTCAACTTAAAACAGAGGTTGGATTATATTTGACAATATCAAGTGTTACTTGAAAAATAATTAATACAATATCAGAAATTAAATAAAAACATTCTACAATATAGTATTAATGTATAATTCAAGACTTGAGAAACAATGGAGTGGAAAATTAGAAACCAAATGGAAACCATTTGAAATACAAGAAAGATTAAGTAAAAGAAAGTTATATATTAAAAAATCAGTTGGACAACCATTGAAAGAGATTATACATTTAAACAGATTGAAGGAATATAAAGGAAGAGAAAAATGAATATCACAAATAGCTATAAGTTAAGCATAAGAGGACTTAACACTTTAACAGGAGAAGAACTGTTATGGGAAAAAAATTGACACTTAGAAAATATAGTAATACATAATAAACTAATAGAATTAATCACATGAATTATAATAATAATATTTATAACAATATTTATAATTATAGATTTATAATAGTAACATTTATAAAAATAGCAATTCATATTTGTAATAATTTATTTATAGTGATTAGATTCTAAGAATAATTTATTTAAATAATTTATAATAGAAAGTTACAGAAAATAATAATAAAAATTAATTCTCTAAAAAATTATAGTAGGAAATTGTACAACATCACGTAGTAATACAAAATTACACAAAAAATCCTAAAAAATAATATAAGGTAATACAAGCTGCAGTAAAAGCATGACTTGTAGATCAAAATTAAATCCAATTCACCTTTTTTCCTCAGTTAATTCAAGTTAATTTCAGTTTAAAGAATTTTAAAAAATTTTGTAAAATTGTAAAAATTTGAAAATTATAAAATAAAATAAAGATAAAATGTGATAAAAAGAAAGTTATAAAAGAAATAATGGAAATGATAAAAGATGTAATGGAAATAAAATAAATAAATAATGTTATTATTTTCATATGATTACTTAATGTTGAATAAATAATATTATAGGATTAAAACTTGATTAATAGTAGATAATAAAAGATAAGATAAAAAAATGAAAAGGAAAATAAGAGAATAAAAGAGAATATAAAGGAATAAATGATGTAGTGAAATAATTAATATGAGAATAAGAGAAATAATATGAAATTAAAGAATGTGAAAGGATAAAGAAGATAAGATAAAAGACCGATTATATCTATTAAACTGACTGGTGCCTTTTAATAATAAAAGACCAAACTAATGCCATGTATCTTTGGACATAGTACGTTAAACTCTTTAAAAGAACCATTAGTTCATTATGAGAAAAACCTGAGCATGACAATATTATAAATATGAAAAATTCAAATAATGCACTAGAACATTGTGTTCTAGTATGTTAGTACCATTCTAAGAATGTTATATGAATGGTGTTCATATACTTTTTTGCATATTTGTCACTCAAAATCTGTCACATGAATTAAACATGTGGAATCAATCCGATTACTTGTCAAATTATGGACCAATCAAATTCGGAGGGGATATAAGGATAAGAATCTATACCCTATGGACAGGATAAAAGTCTATACCAGGGTTAGGATAAGGGTCCATAAGTTGAATCAATATTTTTATCAATATTTTATGATTGCCAATTTTGTTTTTGAAATATAAGTTACATACTTCTTTAAATAAAATGTATTCTATATATTCTTTACATTTTAGTAAATCGTAAATAGAGAAAATTTAATTAAAGAATTCATTAAATATTATTGTAACGGATAAATTATACAATCAGAAGAAGCAATCAGGAAATTGTATTATAATGAAACGTTCAAAACATTATCCCTAATGAATCTCCTCATAATGTTCTTTAATCCGAACACGATTGTAATTTGTAAAATCGTCATTCCAAGAAAATAAGCTGTTCTCTAAATATAGCCAATAATGTTTATTTGTTTGTTACAAATTTATAAAAAAAAATTCCAAGAATGTAAATACGTCATCACCATTAAATGTTTTATATTACGTTTTAGTAATTGTGTACATCCAAGTTTTGCTAAATTTAGAATTCTTTAAATCTCACAAAATATACCACACAGTAATAGCAACAAGGCCCAAAATACTCAAGTTATCAATTCTTCAAGTCACGCGTGCGCGCGTGGTTGGTTTGTCAAAATAAATATTTTAGACTGAGAAGAAAAAAAGTAATTTTCAATTCCTAATTAATATTAATTTAATTCTCAATCGTTAATTCATTATTAACTTTAATATTAATTAATTTATTAATTATTAAAAGAAAAGAATATTAATTAAATAAATAAATCATCCATTAGAAATTTTCGAAAATCTGAAAATCTTTCATATAATAACTTAGTCATGCAGGAGTTTTTCGTTTTAATTATTTCCATTGTCCTTTGATTTATTAACAATATTTAATTTCCCTTGTAATTTATTTGTACTCCCATTGTTTTGTTACGGTATTAAATTGATTCACTGCATTTCTTTTTCGTTATGCAACATAAAAAAAAAGATCTTAGGTATATTTGGAGAAATGTGGGGGACTAAACTTTGAACTGCTTGAGCTCGTCGATACAATTTTACCAATTTTACATTTATATCAAATTCAAATAAACAGTATTATTAGCAGCATATTCTTTCAATTACATTATGTGTAACATACATTTATATATCTATTACATATTTACTTATCTATTACATATAATACATTTGTTGCATACATTATTGTTGTCTAAATAAGAGCTTTACCATTAAGACAAACCCATTCCGAGAATTTTTATGTATAAATAGGATGAATCCTCCCTTTGTCTTTATTTTTCTTTCATAAAAAAAAGAAAAAAATTTCATTTCTTTGAGATTGAATATTCTAATAATTTTCTTTGTTTGTTGCTAGCCAAGAAATAAAGAAAATTGATTCTATTTTTATCCGAAATTTGACATTCCTTGAAACAAACTAAGCAATAACATATATAAACAACTAAACATACACTTCACGAAAATATGAAATTATCAATATTTTCTATCGTTTTACTTTTATCATTTATAAAATTCGTGTCTAGTAAATGTTTTGATTTTGATAGTTATTCTAATTTTGAAGTAACAGAATGTGGTGAATTAAAAGAATTTATAAAAACCCCCGTCGTCGATCGTACTATAAAAATTGAAATCAATACTGATAAATCAAAACCTGGGATGTGTAATACCGGAGGAAAAGTTAATATGTTTGAGATCGATTTCACTTGTGACAAAAATACAAGTAATAAAACTTGTGAAAAAGCTAGAAATGCTTTTGAAACTGCAGGAATGATTATTAGTTCTGCTATAAAATTAAAGAAAAAAATTCATGTAAATGCTACATTCACAAAATTTTGTGGAGTTTTTCTTAATTGCAGTGGTGGATCTAGTCCGATAGGTAATATCCAATATTTTAAATATATTAAATAATTACTAGATTACTAGTTACTAAATTATTAAGATTATTTAAATTTTAGGTTATGGTATTCCGGCTCGATTTATTCAACTTAAAGATGAAGACAGTGTTATTCGTTTATATCCTCAAGCTTTAGTAAAACAATTTGATTCACTTAATCATCCTGAATATAATAAATATGATATTACAGCTTTATTTAATTCAGAAAGTACTGCTTACTGGTTTTCTGGTGACCCTAATCCTCCTACTTATAACCAAATAGATTTTACTCTCGTTATACTTCATGAATTTATTCATGGTTTAGGTTTAATAACTTTGTGGGTGGATTATTTTAATCCTACACCTGAAGGTTTAGTTCCTTTCCCAAGTTTTCTTAAAAATCCCAATGGTTTTACTGATTATAATGGTACCATAACTTTTACTGGATTTGAAGAATCGGTTTTTGATAAATATTTAGTATTCACTGATAATGATAATAATAAGGATCCTGAGAAATATTTAACTAGTATTCGAGAAAAAATTAATTCTTTTGCTGGTGGGCCCGAAGCTAATACCAAATTCGATAATAGTTCTTCATTCATTACTTCTTTTGTAAATAGTTCAAATTATAATTATGCTAAAGATTTATTAACTAAAGCTACTATCCCAAGATCTATTGGATTTTTACCTCACAATGCTAAAAATAATAACGACATTATTATAGTTGAAACATCTTTAAAACCTCTTATAACCGGAAGCAGTTTAAGTCACTTGGATAATGATACTTATGTTGATACTCCGGATTTCTTAATGAGATATAGGGCTCCACGTGGTATTTCGTTAGAAACTTTATATCTTGCTAATGGTGGAGATAAAGATAATAAATGTGCCATAGGACCTAAAACAATTGAAATTTTGGAGACTTTAGGGTGAGTTCATTTTTCATTATCAATTTAATTAGTCGTATTTATTTCTATATTATTAATATTATTTATTTTAATAGATATCAGACCATCAATTATAGAAAAAATAAAAAATTTCATTCAGTTAAACTAAATTAAATAAATTTTATTTATTAAAAATTTGTGGTAATATAATTCTTTATTCTTTTGTGTTTTCTCTCTCCATAAATATAAATATAAATATTGGGCATATGTTATAGGTTATGAAAAATAAAAAATTTTCTTTGTAAATTATTTTATTTCATTTCATCTTCAGTTTATACAAAAAATCATAATAAAAATATCTAAATTATCTACACTATATAACAAGCGGTCTTGCTTTAGGGGAACTTGTTTCATAAAGTAAAAACATGTCGGTATGTTAAATACCGTTTTGGAACTATTTTTTAAAGTTTATGACGGTCTGTATTTGAGTGTAATTGTGTCATATCATTAATTTTATTTTGAAATAATAAATATATTTATGATTTTTGGATGGATTAGCATGACAGAATTTCCCTTTTGATGATCTCGTTACACAAATTTTTATATATCAAATACATATGATTTTACGTTACTCTATAAGTATCACGTTGAAGGACGAAACCATGTGCCATGAAACTATTACTTAGATATTCTTCTATGGCTTTTCTAACGTAATTTGCATTGGCATCAATAGCATCATTCAATTTACGTGAGATTTCTTAGAGACGAGTTTTTGTAATTAGATCTTATAAATATAATTAATAATAATTTTTTTACTTTATTTTATTTTTTATTAGAATTTTTCAAATTAATAATAATTTTTTATT